AACTAGCTTGCTCTATTCTATCTGTTTTCTTTTTATTTATTATTTATATAAAAAAAAACTTGTACTGTGTTCAGCTAACTGAGACTTATTAAAACACTTGCATATCATTGCTCTTTTGTTGATTTTGATTGCTTCCATTGTCCTCATTTGTAAGTCGCTTGTAAGTCTGCTAAATGTAAATGTAATGTAAATGTGTATTTAACTAGATTTATAAATATCTATCTGTATTTTTTATTTTGTAATGTAAATGTATTTGTTTTATATATATATATATACATGCATTTGTATTTCTGATTTCTCTCTATGTATATATATATTTTTTAAATATCTGTATTTGTCTAATTTTGATATTTTAAAGGCGCAATAGGAGATCTTGGAAAATGCTAACTTTAGCCTTATAGCACTGAAAGCGAATGTCCCACCCTCCCTGCAATCGCCGTCCAAAGCCACGCCCCCTAAATGCATATACGCTCACTCACAGACCAGAGTACCAGAGACAACATTACTACAATAGGCTACATCAGCGGTTCCCAATTCCAGCCCATGTTCCGAAGTGAAGTAAACTTCAACGTATTTCCCCCGCTCAGTGAGGAGGGAGCAATGAACACTGTGTAGGGATCATATCGATCGGAACACAGTTCATGCACGTAGCTCACTTCTAATGAGCTGGTTATTTGAATCGGGTGTGTTAACTAAGCGAGACATTCAAAATATGCAGACCGGGGGCGCGAGGACTGGATTAATCGCTGGGCTACATCATGCGTCATTCACTGGTGAGAAGTCATTTGCTATCTGCGTATTTTCCACATACTGTACATTATTGTTTCTACTTTATGTCCCGCCTTTCTGAAACGCATTGATTTTTACAAAGCTCACCTACTCTACACTGCCCAAAAAAGCTTGCTTTAAATATATAAAATATAAAAACTCTTTAAATATAAAAAAAACTTACTTAGTCTTTGAGTCAGAACAGCCGGCATTGTAGTCTTCTCTACCAGGATCAGGAAACAGTCCTCCATAAAATGTGCTGCACACATCTGAATATTTGGGTTAAACTGTTCTGGAACAGTGTTGTAAAAACAACTTAACCACTGATTTCTAGTCGTGTCCATTTTTGGAAGGCCAAACAAAGTAGTTTCGCGTTCACAACGAAACAGCATTACACACGGTGGCCTAGAGTGAGCAGAGGCCGGGGGCTAGTGCGAGGAACAGCCGGAGGGCTAGAGTGAGCAGAGGCGGGTGGGCTTGAGAACAGCGCGGCCAGCGGATTCGACGAAGGAGTGTCCGGAAGGCTTGCGGCAACCACATGTGATGACCCCGGGCTGGACTCCGCTTCGTCCACGGTGAAAGCAGATCCGGCGCTCCACAGCGCAAAGTTGTAGTATTTCCTCAGCAACCAGCACGGCTCAGCACCAGGAATGACGAAGCAGATATCGTCCTCTTTTGGAAGACCAAACAAAGTCACTTTCACAAGGAAACACACAGTGCCTTCATGACATGGTGGCGGCGGCAACAACAAAACTACAACGAGAATAAAAGTTACGCCTTCTTTCTTTGTGTGAACATTTGGGCGGTGTTATGCAAATCTTCCCACATTATAACGTAGATATGTGGGGGCGTGTTAGAACGAGCCGTTTTAGGTAGGAGTGGTTAACTCTTAACTTTTATAAAGAATATCTCTTTGGATTTGAGACTTTAGTCTTTGCAACTTTACAGATCTTCTTTATGCACCAAGAGCTTGTAACACTTCAAAGAGAAAGGAAAACTTGAAATTGCATCATATGATCCCTTAAAGACAATTTAATATAATTTTTAAAAAAAACTCATAATAAAAAAATGTCATATATATCATGAAATAGTCGCCAGTGGCGACCTCAACAAAAACTTCACTCGCAAATTAGTATTTTTGCTCGCAGTCTGGAGCCCTGCTTTAAGAAGTTAATTCTTTCATCAACTTCACATGAGAAGCGAGGTGCAAATACCCAGCAAACTGCTTCTCACTGCCAGTGGTTTTAGAGGACAATGCAATAGGGCCTGGCTGCAGACATGCACTTTCCCTCTCGGACACCTGTGCTTCCGCAAGTGACGTCACTTTTATTTTGTTTGTTTTTTTTACTTTACTACTAACCTCTCAGCATTTTAAACAAGTAGCCGGGTGGTGAAGACAAGAAAAAATAAACAAAATTGCAATGTCACTTGCAATCGCCACCTGCACTCTCCACTAACTGCGACGTCACTTGCAATCGACACAAATTAACCTGTCGCACAGATCGATGCATTTTCTGTAGCTCATCGTGTCCGCTTGAGAGGAGTGAAAACTGCTCTTAAAAAGTAGCTAAGAACACGACAAAATTCAACAGATAATCTGCTTCCTGAAGATCTAATGAATTTGTGTGAAACACGCTGATATGAACATACATGATGTATTCTCGCGGTGGTGCTAGGTGCTACTGCCCAATAAAATGGCATGATGGTATAAGGGCTTCAGATATTCTTCACACCGAAAGTGTTCCCATAGTGACCGCTATGGCAGCGTAAGTGAACCTATGAAAGAACCACCACAGCATCTCGTCTCCATTAGCAACACGTTTTTGCACACAATTTGTGTCGACTGCAAGTGAAGCAGAAGATAGAGGAAAGTGCAGGTGGCGATTGCAAGTGACATTGTAATTTTGTTTCTTTTCTTGTCTTCACCGCTTGGATACTGTTGTAAAATGTTGAGAGATTCAAAGAACAAATACAATAAAATATTGTATTCATCACTATTTCCTCTGTGCTGCGAATTCTTATGACGTTTGAGGCTTCATACGTCACAATGAAACACCTAAAGCGAGGTGACTGATTCGAATCTTTGGTGCGGCGTCATTCATTATAAGGAGACGTGAAATGCTTGGTGTTCCCTCCCTGCTTCATTGTAACACTTTCGTGTGTAGACAATGCTTCTCAGAATGAAGACACAGCCGCTATTGTTGAGTATTGCTCTTGTGTTGAAACTGGAATCAACAAGATATGTGAATCATTTGAAAGTGGCTGCTATAATTGCAGCTGACCACTAGATGTCACTGGTAGGGTCTGTCTTTTAATCTTTTTTGGTACAATCAGGGAAAAAAAACTCAAAAGCTTTCAACATCTCTAATGTCTATACTGTACAGATTTGGTCAGTTCAAATAAAATGTGCAATTAAGTTAACGATATTGCCAGAAATTAAGTGCAAATCATCATCACAACAACACATCATACTTGAGCTTCACATCACAGAAATGATGAATGAACTTCCACTGCTTCATGAGTCCATCATCTATTATCATGTTATTTCAATCTCAAGGTGTCAGGAGAAATATCTACCGTCCGAATAGGGCTTTTGAGTTGATCTGAATCTCACCGTGCAAGTGATACATGTATTAGACCAGTGTTTCCGAACCAGGGTGCCGCGTGTCGAGAGCAGGTGTGCACTGTAAAAAATATATTTTTTTATATTTTTAAATTACTAAAATGTTAAAAAAAATGTCACCAATAATTAGAGATGCACTGAAATTTCGGCTGCCGAAAATTAGTTCACCGCTCAGGATTTACTTTCACGTGGTGTGACGCTCTGCGTGTTATCCCGCTCTATGCGTGCACTCCGCTCAGTCGCTCACGGCCCATGTGAGTGCTCCACTCATATACCGTTCTTGCTCAAAATCAAGCTGACAGGAAACATCGATGTAGTACAGTATTGTTTCTGTCTGCAATAGCCCTACTGGGCTGTAACAAGGTGTGGTAAATGGGCAACTCTGGTAACGCTGCCCTCTCATTCATTGATTTGTGCGATAGCTAATTAAAATGGTAATTAAATAATGTTTACATATGTACAAAAGCCTACATTAAAATCTGTCATATAAATTGGTCTCTTCATTAGAAATTAGCCTACTGATTGCCACATTTTTTTTATAATATTAAATTTGTCATATAAAATCTGTATGACATTATAATCTGCAGTTCTTCCCTGTTGTACCGAATATCTATACTTTTCAAATTATCATATCGAAGTTAGAAATTAAAATATTGTGACAAAATTTATTTTGTAGGGTGCCACAAGTTTGTTAAAATTTCCAAAGGGTGCCGCGACTAAAAAAAGGTTGGGAAACACTGTATTAGACAATAGAACATAAAACACATAACTCATAAAACTCACAAGAAAACACAATGATATTATTTATATAATGAAGCAAAATTATATACAAGAATAAAACTTTGTGACATTAGGCCCTTTCGTACCGCTTTAGTTCTAGAACTAAACGTACGGTACTAAAGTACTGGGATGATTTTGCACGAACTATTTTCCAGTACCATTTAAAGGGTTGCATTCGCACCGAGAGTATGTACTAAGAAGTGACGTAAGCCGGTCGACAGCGACGTCATTTGTGCGTGGCGTTCAACAACAGAAACAAAGAAGAACATTAACAACAGGAGGATGGAGGACGCTGTGATCGGAGCTGTGTTGTGTTGCGTCGCGCGGGTTTCACAGTGGACATGGAAAGTCGACGTATACGTAAAGCGATTGAAAGAACGGAAAGGAGGACTAAGAATCTCCCTACGACAACTGGCAGTGCTACATTTGCTACAAGTGCCTGCACTTCAGCGTCGGTCCATCTATCGCTGTTCTCCATACTTGCGAAATAAGTTGACATGCTTACAGTATATTTACAAGGAGTTTTAAATCATGGCGGGTGAGGGCGTTTTCATACGCGTTTGGCCAATCAATGTCTACTTGCGTCACGATTAGTACCAGTTGTGCTGGTTAGACCCTGCTCCGGAGTAGGAGCTAATTTGGTTCTCGAAAAAGGCAGTCCGGTACTAAAATCGCTCCCAGTTCCGGCAGTGCGAACACGCCGAAAAGTGGGTAGTTCCACAATTAGTTCTGGTACTATGAAAAGGTTCCTGCGGTGCGAAAGGCCCTATTGTTCTTTGGGGAGGAACTCCATCTTTGAGTTAATCAGAATCTCAAAGTTGAATCTGCTGGTTTTGAAGATGAACTTTATTCACCGTGAAAACTTTAGATAATGTTTCTTTGTCATGTCACTTGTAATGTCTGGTTAGGACAGATTTATCCAGATGATATTTTATTGCTTGATGCATTAATGCAGCATCAGACCTGAAAGTTCTGGATCTGAAGATGATCTACTTGTTGTGATAGTTTTTTGTATGACTGCGTAGAGAAGTTAATTGAATGAAACACTTCCCACATGCAGTGCAGTGATACGGTTTCTCTCCAGTGTGGATCCTCTCGTGTGTTTTCAGATTTGATGAATGACTGAATCTCTTGTCACAGTGTGAACACTTGTAAGGTTTCTCTCCAGTGTGAATCCTCTGGTGCCGTTTTAAACAGTTTGCTGAAGTAAAAGTCTTTTCACACTCAAAGCACATGTAATCTCTAACAGCAGTATGTATTTTCTGATGTACTTTTGAATTTTGTAGACATGAAAAACTCTTTCCACACAAATTACATGAATGTGGCTTCTCCTTTGTATGAACTCTCTGGTGTTTCTTCAGGACTGAAGCTCTCAAAAATGTTTTGCTGCATTGATCACATGTGTGCCGCTTCTCTCCAGTGTGGATGATCATATGTTCATTAAGGGCTGATGATTTTGTGAAACTCTTCCCGCATTGATCACAAGTGAATGGTTTCTCTCCAGTATGAACTCTTATATGCTCTGTAAGGCTTCCTTTTACTGTGAAACTCTTCCCGCACTGATCACAAGTGAATGGTTTTTCTCCAGTGTGGAGCCTCTCATGTGTTTTCAGATTTGCTGACTGACTGAATCTCTTGTCACAGTGTGAACACTTGTATGGTTTTTCTCCAGTGTGGATGTTGATGTGTATCTTAAGGCTTGATGATTGAGTGAAACTCTTCCCGCACTGATCACAAGTGAACGGTTTTTCTCCAGTGTGAATTCTCATGTGAACATCAAGACTTCTTTTGTGTGTGAAACTCTTTCCACACTGAGTGCAGGTGAAAGATTTATTGACTCTTATTTTCTTTGAATATTTGTGTTCGGTTTGAGAGCAGCTCAAGGGGTTTTCTCCAGTTCTGACATGATCTTTCTCCTCAACTTCACTTGATTCTTCATTTTCCTCATTTTCTTTAATTGACTCTGAAATTAAATTTAAAATGGTTATTTTTTTAGTAACTCAAAAAAAAAAACAAAAAAAAAATTGTGAAAGGACATAAAAATTAACCATGATATAATAGCGGAAATAGGGCTGGACGATATGACCTAAAATCAAAACCTTGATTAATTGAGCACTTTAACTCGATTATAATTATGAATGATTTTATTTTTAACATTTGTTTATATTCTGAAATGTAAAATAAATTTCATTTAAAGGTAGGGTAAGCAATTTCTGGTAGCCAATGTTGACATTTGAAATCACCAAAACAAACACGCCCCTATTTTGATAGCTCCGCCCCACACATACGTACGCAACCCAGGCAACCATTAGTTCTGTGAAACAAAGCAAGAGTGGCGCGGCGCGACAAAATACTATGGAACTCATTATAATCAGTGATGATTATTGATGGTTTCTCTCCAGTGTGGATGTCTACACCATAGATGTATATACATATCTATGGTCTACACTGGATGCTGCGCGGCATTACATGACAAATCCCCGACAGAAAACTGCTGCTACGTTCTATTCATGACGTATTGACACAAATTTCAAATGATTTTCAACGGTCGCTTTGTCACTGACATTACTGCATTTGTCACGCAGACACTGTATTACTCACCTATCGAGAAGAAACAAAGCAACCTCGGCGTCCGATCACAGGCCTTCCGCTCCTTGAGTTCTCTCCAGCGCTGGAAAGCTGATCCGATATTTATACGGGTCCTACTTCTTGCCTTATGCCTTCTTTTGTTCCGCAGACGTTTTCCTCTTGTTTTTTATCTGCCATCTCTATCTTTCTGTCGCTCGGCTCGGCTAATGTCCGTTCTGTTCACTGAACTCTCTCTCCTCCACATCATGAGTAGACACGCCCCTTACTGCTGAAATCAGAATCTCAAAGTTGAATCTGCTGGTTTTGAAGATGAACTTTATTCACCGTGAAAACTTTAGATAATGTTTCTTTGTCATGTCACTTGTAATGTCTGGTTAGGACAGATTTATCCAGACGATATTTTATTGCTTGATGCATTAATGCAGCATCAGACCTGAAAGTTCTGGATCTGAAGATGATCTACTTGTTGTGATAGTTTTTTGTATGACTGCGTAGAGAAGTTAATTGAATGAAACACTTCCCACATGCAGTGCAGTGATACGGTTTCTCTCCAGTGTGGATCCTCTCGTGTGTTTTCAGATTTGATGAATGACTGAATCTCTTGTCACAGTGTGAACACTTGTAAGGTTTCTCTCCAGTGTGAATCCTCTGGTGCCGTTTTAAACAGTTTGCTGAAGTAAAAGTCTTTTCACACTCAAAGCACATGTAATCTCTAACAGCAGTATGTATTTTCTGATGTACTTTTGAATTTTGTAGACATGAAAAACTCTTTCCACACAAATTACATGAATGTGGCTTCTCCTTTGTATGAACTCTCTGGTGTTTCTTCAGGACTGAAGCTCTCAAAAATGTTTTGCTGCATTGATCACATGTGTGCCGCTTCTCTCCAGTGTGGATGATCATATGTTCATTAAGGGCTGATGATTTTGTGAAACTCTTCCCGCATTGATCACAAGTGAATGGTTTCTCTCCAGTATGAACTCTTATATGCTCTGTAAGGCTTCCTTTTACTGTGAAACTCTTCCCGCACTGATCACAAGTGAATGGTTTTTCTCCAGTGTGGAGCCTCTCATGTGTTTTCAGATTTGCTGACTGACTGAATCTCTTGTCACAGTGTGAACACTTGTATGGTTTTTCTCCAGTGTGGATGTTGATGTGTATCTTAAGGCTTGATGATTGAGTGAAACTCTTCCCGCACTGATCACAAGTGAACGGTTTTTCTCCAGTGTGAATTCTCATGTGAACATCAAGACTTCTTTTGTGTGTGAAACTCTTTCCACACTGAGTGCAGGTGAAAGATTTATTGACTCTTATTTTCTTTGAATATTTGTGTTCGGTTTGAGAGCAGCTCAAGGGGTTTTCTCCAGTTCTGACATGATCTTTCTCCTCAACTTCACTTGATTCTTCATTTTCCTCATTTTCTTTAATTGACTCTGAAATTAAATTTAAAATGGTTATTTTTTTAGTAACTCAAAAAAAAAAACAAAAAAAAAATTGTGAAAGGACATAAAAATTAACCATGATATAATAGCGGAAATAGGGCTGGACGATATGACCTAAAATCAAAACCTTGATTAATTGAGCACTTTAACTCGATTATAATTATGAATGATTTTATTTTTAACATTTGTTTATATTCTGAAATGTAAAATAAATTTCATTTAAAGGTAGGGTAAGCAATTTCTGGTAGCCAATGTTGACATTTGAAATCACCAAAACAAACACGCCCCTATTTTGATAGCTCCGCCCCACACATACGTACGCAACCCAGGCAACCATTAGTTCTGTGAAACAAAGCAAGAGTGGCGCGGCGCGACAAAATACTATGGAACTCATTATAATCAGTGATGATTATTGATGGTTTCTCTCCAGTGTGGATGTCTACACCATAGATGTATATACATATCTATGGTCTACACTGGATGCTGCGCGGCATTACATGACAAATCCCCGACAGAAAACTGCTGCTACGTTCTATTCATGACGTATTGACACAAATTTCAAATGATTTTCAACGGTCGCTTTGTCACTGACATTACTGCATTTGTCACGCAGACACTGTATTACTCACCTATCGAGAAGAAACAAAGCAACCTCGGCGTCCGATCACAGGCCTTCCGCTCCTTGAGTTCTCTCCAGCGCTGGAAAGCTGATCCGATATTTATACGGGTCCTACTTCTTGCCTTATGCCTTCTTTTGTTCCGCAGACGTTTTCCTCTTGTTTTTTATCTGCCATCTCTATCTTTCTGTCGCTCGGCTCGGATTGAATGCTTTCCTCCACATAATGAGTAGACACGCCCCTTACTGCTGATTGGCTACAAGTTTATTTTGCTAGACGGCCCAAATCAGTTTTCTAAAGCATTTTTGAAAAATCGCTTACCCCACCTTTAATGAAATGAATATAAAACATCAATTTGTAAATGCACCAGTGTGCACGCATTTTTAGTGTTTTATCACCGTATTTATTAGAGATCAAACGATATATCGATTTACCGATATTTTTCCGGATATTTAAGCATTTTACCATAATCGGATATCGGTTTTGTAATATCGGATTCACTGATAAACACCGCCATCTTGTGGGTGTTTGCCATTGCAGCGCATCTGAGGGGAGACGAGACAACAACAACAGCGTGCAGGTACTTGATTTGCTTTAGTTAGTAAATTTTATTTATCATAACAGCCATTTATGCACAAATTACATGCATTACATAAATGCCTGATATGTAGTTTATGCAGCTTGGCTCTAAGAAATAGAGACCAACTCACAGAGTCATGTAAAATAATCCGTCAAGTCCTGTCCCAATAAAGACGTAACTTTGCCTGAATTAAATAATATGCAGCCATGAATGAACGCATGTTGGAAATAAAAGCACTGAATTTAATTATCTCTCGGTTATCTATGCTCATCTTTAGTCTCGTGAAGTCAGAATCACGTAGGCAATCCGTCAAGTCCTCAACCACAAGGTTGATGTGGTTGATGCTCAGGAAATGCTCCAGCACGGCCACCGCATGTAACTTAACAAGATTCACTTGTTTAAAATACCCTAAATTGTATCAACATTTACTATATAACCATTATTTCGCTAATAAACATCTAAATAAATATGATAAAATAAATAAACACAACAAGCATTTCATAATCTAGAAGGACAAAAACATTCTTAATAATTCTGATATAACATTCCAGTTGAGAAATTCAATAAAATACGATGTTTTGTTTGCTATATTCCAATATTCCAGAGAATATTATTCAGTGTATTATTCTTGACTCTGTAGCTATTAAACAGCTTATACTAAAGCGGCAGTTTAAAATGAAGTTGATATGACCTGTCCTTTATTTTCTCCATTTGAAAACATTAGACATGTATTTTTCTTATTGTTAATATTAGTGTTGTTGCTGTTGATGCTTTTTATAAAAAAAATGTTTTTATTGTTGTAATATGAAGATTTAATTTAACAAAAGACTGCTAATTTTCAACACTTTTTAAAAGAAAAAAAGATGAGCGAAAAGAGGAAAAACCAAAGTGAAGTATGTACTTACTTCACTCAGTCATGTATTTACTTTATAACAGTAAATAAATATCGGTTCCGCATATCGGTTATCGGGCACATAAACATGCAAATAATTGGTA